TGTGGAGGTCCACAGTTTTGTCTCTGGTGTCTTTTGACAGCTCTTTGGTCTTGCCCATGGTAGTAGTTGGCGTCTGACTGACTGTGGGGTGGACATGTGTCTTTAAAGAGCTCAGACAGGTGCTACTAATTTAGATTAATGAGTGGAGTAGAGGTGGACTTTTTCAAGGCACAGTAACAGGTCTTTGAGAGCCAGAATTCTTGCTGTTTCTCAGGTGTTCAAATACTTATGTTCAGCAGTGCAAGACAAATAAATTCTTTAAAAATCATACAATGTGATTTCCTGAAATTGTTTTTTAATTCTGTCTCTCAGAGTGGGAATGCACCTACAATGTGAATGTCAGACCCCTCCATGATTTCTAAGTGGGAGAACTTGCAAAATCGCAGGGTGTTCAAATACTTCTGTTCCTCACTGTATATTGAGAATGACTTTCTTTTATGAAAACAAGCATCTCTCACTTTCCTGCACAAGGCTGTACACAGAGTGTGCTCTGTGGTTTTTGAACAGACAGAGCTGCTTCCTTGTTAAGATAAACCTCAGGGTGGGCTGTAAAAGTGCAAATTTTGAGTCAGTCTTTACTGTGCTGCAGAAATGAATGAGAATCAGGCTGCAAATAAGGACAAACTCTCCCAGTGTTGGGATTAAATTTACCCTTGTGTGTAAAGAAATTATAGCCAGAACTGAATATGCAGGACAAATTCTTCTTGGAAAAGAGAAATTATACTAATTTATAATCACTGTATAATAATCTATACAATCCCAGCAATTAAACTCAGCTAAAAACTGGTTTTAGCAGCAAACTACCCTTGAATAATTTTAAGAATAAATGACAAAACCACGCCTATGTGTACTTTCAAGACAAACACACACACTCACACACTAGTTGTAGGCAGGTTTCTCTTCAAGTCAAAGGGTGAAAGAATGTCTTAAGTGAACACTGCGGGTTTTGGTGGTCACGCATGATTGGTAAAATCCAGACACACAGACACAAATGCACACACACATGCACAAACTCTGACTTATCTTTGGAGTCTAGAAACTGTTTATGTTGTGTGTTATGAGCCAGTCTGCACTGAAAATATGTTTGTGTTTATGCGTGTCTACTATATTACTATACTACTTATTTGTACATGCCATAATACTGTGTATTCAAGATGTGTGTGTAACTCTGATTATATAAATTTAAGTGATTAGTGAACACTGGACAAGCTGTATTTTTCCAAGTCCTCCAGTGTGCATGTGACTATTTTATGATCCTCAGAACTCTGAAGATACAATCTGGCCTTGACTAGTAGACTTTGCTACCTGTTCTTTATTACAGAAGGAGGGTCAGGGGAGGTTGAGGGATCAGGGTTAAGTGTGTGTTTGTGGTATACTATCTAGAATTACATGCATGCAATAGTATGTTTGATATGACACAATGAGCTCTTTTGTTATTGTACAGCTCTGCATTTTATAGATCCTGTGTGCAGCTTTCTTATGGCTCTGATATCACTGCACACACACACACACACACACACACAAATGAAAGCACTCAGTGTAATGCCCAGTGTTTTCAGTCAGTTGACTGTTATATTGGTTATGGCAAGTTACATTGGTTTGGTTGTAAATCATTTCACTATGAATCAAACATGATTGGAGTCCAATCTGATAACAAAGGCCAATGTTTTCAACCTGCCGACAGAGGCCTCAAATCTACATTAAAATGTCACATTCAGGCTTTGTATTTCTGTCACATTTGGTACACACATTCCTGACCTTCTCATATAAGCAGACTGCTCCTTCACTGTCAGACTGGGAATGTTTTAGCCATGATCCAAAAGTATCACTACTGATTGTTTGTCTGATTGTAGGTTACTACATTAATCGTTTACTGTTACACTATAGATAATGATTCTAGCCAAGAAACACTAACATCTTCATTCCTGCAGATCAGATCAGCTCTGAATCTGATGCCAAAATGCCATAGTAACAGCATCACTGGTAACACCGTGCATTGAAAGTGGAAGGGGGCTCACTGAGGCTGCATGGCATACGCCATGCACACACTAACCCACAAACACTTTCCATAGGCTACAGTTCTCAACCATCGACCCGTGCACACACTAAAGCCTCACGCACGAACACACCCACACGCTGTCTCTCTCGCTTTTGTTCTCGCCCTCTCTCTCTCTCTCTCACTTCCTTTTCTCCATCTCTGTGACGATCGCGGAAAGTCCTGGGAGCCGCGCGGACAGGTCGCACGCGCTGTTTTTCAGGTGAACGTGCGCAACCTTCACGCACAGGTTTCTGCATTAAAGAGACGCGACGGTGGATATTTTATCACAGTGTAGACCTCCAACTGATATACACAAGTTATTTTTGGCTTTATTGTGAAGTTTTAATACGGAAAGCACCTGCTATAAAAAAAAGGGAGCGTGAAAAGACTTCTGAAAAAGTGAGTATGCAGTGTGAAAATCGATCACCTCAGTCCAAGCTTAAGAAAAAAGCTGTCCTGGTCAGGTATGTATGACAGAAGAATAAAAGCAGAACGATTAGTATATAGGATATTTTTGCCTTAAATCCTTTAAAGTAACATAATAGGTCTGCCATTTTAACTCCGTATAAGAATATGATTGGTCTTAGTCTCTCTCCTACTAAGTTGGTACATTTTGATGTAGTTAATAACTACAGTATCTTCATGTACCATAGTCCAAATTTCCCGTGCAGGCATAAATTTTGCACAGCAATTACCCACAAGGCTGACTTCATGTGTTTTTCAGGGGCAGATTAATTCTTAAAAGCTGAGCAGATTTTTTGTTGTTGTTGTTTGTTTGTTTGTTTTTACTGCAGGACCCCCAACTTGTGATTTGATTTTCTGCCAGAGAGGCTGGTAGAGAGCAGACTGAAAACGTTTACTTTAGCACTTTTCTGGTGCAGGGTGGTAATTTCCCTGTTGTGCTGCCAGTCTGCAAAATGGTGTGCTGAGTGTGTGGTGTTTTCCAGTTGAAACAGATTATGGGTGTTCAGCAGCAGAGTCCCTGATACCTTACAGTGTAAACTGTCTGCTGCTGAGAGGAGAGAGGATGGAGAAGGAGCAAGAGGAGGAGCTTTATAATGAGAGAAGTCAGGTTTTGAATCAGAACTCGCTGGTTTCATTCCCTGGACTGCTCATGGAAATCTGTCTAGAGGCTGAATGAGAATTGCTCTCAAGCTTCCAAAGCCACAATCCATGTAACTACAGAGTAAGAGCCCTTAACAAGTCATTAACTGCACTGTAGCTTAAGAAAAAGACAGAGACAGGAAACAGGACTTGCAGCACATTAAATCACAGTGCATGTGCATCATTCAGCCCAGATATATTTCCCTCTGCAGCACCAAGAAGGATTTTACCAGAGCCACAGTGAAAGTTACAACTGTAATAATTAACTATTTTAATTTACACAAATATGTTTGTTCAGGGATTGAAAGTGGTTCTTTTCCCACCTTTAATCAACAAAAGAGCAAAAAATGGTGAGATTAGTCATGAGGAAGCTTCAGCTTTATCCCATGTGGCCCTGTACTACAGACCTGCCTGATATGTGTAGTTCAGTGAGTGAGTGAGAGGCATTCAAGCCATGCAAGGATCAAATGTCTGCCTCAATCGCATTAGTGTAATTTGATTAGAATAGTGTCTTGTTAGCTAGACGGTGAGTGCAGACACATGTCTGTCTGTGTAAGCGAGTCTGAGAACTGTTGTATTTTACTGCAGCAGTTACAGAGCACATTGTGTCTTCTAAACTTTTAGAAATCATTATCTCATATGTTGACATGGAAAGAGCTGCAGACTGCTGAGTGGTATTTAAAGCCTCTATGCAATTTCAGATACTAGTGCATGCATATATTTTTATATGTAGAAACAATTGGTGCAAGGCTATATGTGGACTCCAATTAAAAAAAAATCCCCAGGTGGTGGTAGTGGAGCAGAGCCAGCAGGTGGTTGACTGGAACCTTGGACAGTGGCCCTGGACATCACTTGTCAGACATGGTGACATCAGAATTGTAGGTGCGGGGAGATTTGACAGTGTGGGATCGCAGAAGTGACAGAGAGAAATGGACCAGAAGCATCTACCCACAGTGTTCTCGCAGTAAATCTACTTGCTTTCTTTTTCAGATGCTGATTGGTTGGTGGCCATTCCTGGGTGGTCACTAGGACGCAGATGTTTGTCAGGGCTAACATGGAACAAGAGGGCTCGTTTAGGAGGTACAAACAAAAACTTTGCAAGCAGTGGGTCTCTTTCATGCAGGAGTTTCACTGCATCTCCAGTACCTTTTTTCTGTTTTCTCTCAATGTCTCAGTCCTTTGGCACACGGAAAAGTGGATGAAAGTGACACACACACACACACACACACACACACACATTTCTGAATGACTTCATTTATTCGTTCATTTATGAAAACTTCCCTCTTATCCTGCTTTGTTTAGTAATTAGACCACAACCTTTTGCCCTTCAACTCTTCCTGTTTCAGAGCCGAAAACTAAAAGTATCTACTTCCTGATTACATTAGCATCCATCCAAATGTGCAAATATAGAAATAAAACCCCCTTTTTCATCAGCAGAGAAGCCTCTAGGCACTTTCTACAACTCTATTTTGAGTCTCGGTGTCCTCAGCCTGTTTTATGCACCGCGTCTTCTATTCTTCAGACGAAAACATTTCACGACATGCCTGTAGATTTGGTGGCACAAGGTACAACTCTGACTCTGACTCAAGCAGTAAAATACATCAGCTTGTGTAAACATCAAGAGATATCTCATTAAATGGAATTAAATGCTGAAGTTGTCAGCCATTAAAATCACTGTATTTTGATATCATTCTCTTTGGGCTTTCTGCCGATGTGCTTAAAGTTTTAGTATTTTATCTGTTCAGTACTGTTGCTTTTTACAAATTTATGTAACTAAAGGTTTTGTTTTTAGTTTCACGACAAATTCAAAACACAGATCTGTGTTTTTATCCCACCCTTTCCGAAACATACTGTTTTCGTGTATTTAAAAACAAACAAACAAAAAACTAATATTGTATTTGGATAGCTTGGATCAGTGAAGCCAGCTCTACCTTCCACATCACTATTGTCCAGTAGATATATTGAATGCACTGCGTGCTTATTGATTCTTTCTTCTGCCCTTTTGTATTTGGAGGGGTCTACACAGCAAGCTGAGGTCGGGCAGCAGCTCGTCGTCCAGTCTGACTGACCTCTCACAGACAAAAACCCAACCAGGAGGTGGGGAGAAAGGAGGAACTGCTGGGGGTCTGGCAAAGGAGTGCAGCAGGGATCAAGTGATGCAGCAGAGGACAGCAGGGACCAATGCCACCTGGAACAGGTCAGTGTGTTACATTTTTATTTATAATGTGTCAAGTGTGGGCAATATTGGTTCGCTTTCTGGCAATGACAGTGTTCTTTGGTGTAATCCCTGCTCAAGGTCTCGCACTAAGGATTACACACGCATGTGTGTATCATGCTGAAGTAAACATCACCAAGAGAAAGCTTCCAGTCTGATACTTATCCCAATTTTTCCTCTTAACAAAGGAAAAGGTTCCTATTCATGCTATGAATAGGAACCTTTTTTCAGTACACACAAACACATGAATGCACATAAGCATCAGCTTTCTGTCTACCCTCCCTCAGGGTCCATCACTCTCTCTTTATCTTCACTGTCAGAAACAGTGTGCGATACGGCCGAAAAAGTGTTAGGTGAACTCAATTAAATGGCCAGACGAGGAAGTAATGAACAAAACCCGTCTCTTTAAAAACTGATATTTCTCATTTACCTACATATTTAGAACCCTAATTCAGAACTTTGGTGGCATTTACTGCTTTAAGCCATGGTATTTGTCCTGACATGCAAAGTGAATTCTGTGGTTAATTTGCTCCGGTGAAGTTAAAGGCACAGCTTAAGGTAATCAGAGCAAAGAGGATGGACCTGACTACAAAGTAGTAGCAAAGGGGCTGAAGATGTTTGTAAATGAGAGATTATAGTTGTTCATGTTTAATAAAAACATTTTTCACTTCGTTATTAGGAGTTACTTGGCAAAAATTGCAGTGTTATCCATTTAAAATTAAATCTACAACACAATAAAATTTAAACGAATAAGTATATATTAAGTATATATCATATAATAAGTTAACATAATTCTATTGTTCTACACATTAGGTCTGCACTGTAAAGTGTTTACTAAACACATCCCTTTGTATTTTTTGCAGCATCCAAAACGCTGTGATCTCAGTTTTTCAGAGGAAGAATCTGGGAGAAAATGAACTCTACACTCTGAATGAAAGTGTCAGGTTAGCTGTCTTCATTCTGTGTTTATTTGTTTATTTACTCTTTAGCTTTTAACACCAACACTGTTTCTCCCATATACACACAATGACAGCTTCAGCATGCTAAATCTATTGTTTACCAAAATCTAAACATTAACACATGCCCATGTTGTCTGACATGCCGCTGAATCATGGGTAATGTATTTTTCTCCTGCTGTTCTTGACTGTATGCTGAATCAGAAGCACCTTTAAAAGGTGAAAAGAAACAGGGTGAAGTTACAGAAGGATCAACTACACTGTTTAATGACAGTGCAGTTGAGAGTGGCCTCCAGCCAAGAACAATAAATATTGCACCCCACATGCACATAGTGTATATACTGTCCATGCACATACATTGTAAACACTATGCCCATACTGTACATGCACTCACATTACTTGCTGCAACAGTGTTAGCTGATCTTCCCAGAGCATATCAGTTCAACATGGCTTAAGGTTGTGAAAGGACTCAAGCTGTATCTAAATTGAAAGAAAGCATCTTTATGTTGCAGAAACACAGCACAGTAATAGTCTTTCTGTATCTAGATATGTTTCCAAACATCTACTGTATACCTGTTGATGATTTGTATGCCCCAAAGATAAAAGTTGTGGTTTTGTCTTAACAACTGAGCTGTCATTCTTATCTTTACATTTAATAGTTTTTCAGTGGAAATCCTGTTGCTGAAGTGTTCTGACATTGCTGTAATCTTTGTTTTCATTTCCTGAGTCTGCTGCTTTTTAAACACTGCAGCTTGCAAATGCAATCTCAATACTTATGTGTGCACTTATATGCTGCTATTGATTTTTTGCAGGCAGCTGCTGAAAACAGAGCTTGGCTCCTTCGTTACTGAGTACCTTCAGAACCAGCTGCTCACTAAAGGCATGGTCATACTGAGAGATAAGATCCGCTTCTATGAAGGTACACATAAATCAGAAAACAAGGAAAGACAATGCCATGGACTCTGGTATTGTAAGTGGTTCAAAGAAGTTATAAAAGGTCGTCTGTCATATTCGTCATTTTCATGGAAGGATTACTTGCAGATTCCCTAGGAAGCAAATTTCAACAACATGCTGGAAGGTCGGAAAAATCTCCTCTACTGTGGGCTGTTACTGAGTACCAGGTTTTAGATTCCTCTTGGTTATTCAGTAACAGTGCCTCCAGGTTTCATATGACGCATTTGTTTCAAGTAAACTCAGATATGAATCTTCAGAGTTCGTCAGTGTGTCTAGAATAAAAAGATAATAATTGACTTAAATTCCAGATGCAGAGTTAACCTTTGAACTGTGAGCTCAAACTGTGAAAACATGGTTTTATCTCTCCACCATCATTCCTAGTGAGGGACATTTTTCTGTAGTACACACCTGTATGAACACACAGTCAGTCAGAGTGACAGGCAGTCCCTGAAGAGGTGAGAACAAGGGACTTTGTTTTGTTCTCTCTGTCTTGGTAAATGTTGTGACTTTTATTTGAAGAACCACTGAATTGAAAAAATACACAAAACCATACATATGGTTCTGTGATACATATAATAAATATGCTTCTACAGTTACACCATAAAACACGTTTCAAGAATCTTTAATAATTCTCAGAACTAGAATTGTTTTTACACTGGATTTATTGTTTTTTTACTGCTTATTGTTTTAATGCTTTCTTTGCCTCTGTGTTTGAAATATAAATAAGGCTGTCTTGCCTAGAATAGGGTTGTGCATGTGTTGTATATCAGAAAGTATTGTTGCTTCTATTTTTCTTACACTTCCTAAATTTCTCCTGATTCTGCCAAATAGGTCAGAAATTGTTGGATTCTCTGGCTGACACATGGGACTTCTTCTTCTGTGATGTTCTGTCCATGCTGCAGGCCATCTTCTATCCTGTACAGGTACTGTACAAACTGTACATGCCCATTTACAAACTTGCGCAGTAATATTGTACTTATACAAATCTATTACGTGTCTGTGTCTTCAGGGCAAGGAGCCATCAGTGCGCCAGTTGGCTTTGCTTTACTTCAGGAACATCATCGCCCTCAACCTGAAACTGGACGAGGCTTTGTCTCGACCTCGAGCCAGAGTTCCTCCTTCTATCATACAGATGCTGCTAATACTACAGGTTCACACACACACACACACATATACACATACCCTCAAACACACTGCACAAATTTCCATGACT